GTTTAACATGTTTTTAGTTTGTTTTTGCCACGTCATCAAAAAAATAATAAAAAATCAAAAAAATAATAAAAAATACCACATAAGCGAGTTAACGATCGAAATTAACAGAAGGCTTAACGGAGTGCATTTCGTATAGTTGAGGGATCAAAAAAGTGCAAAAAATTGTTAAGGGACCAAAAATGTGCAAACGACTATAGTTGAGGGACCAAATCTAGCATTTAACCAAGTTAAAACCGGCTTGCATTCGTTTTTTACATGCGCCAAACTGTGCACTTAAATTTTTATCCTGTAGAGTTGGCTTTCTGCACTTGCCTTCACCAGAGCCAGTTACAGATTTTTGGAGCCGACTCTCTGCATATTTTTCAGCTTATTTTGGTCCTTTTTAGTGCAGTCCAATTTCACTTAATTTTGCAATGTTATGGAAGTTCAAATACACATTTAAATGAACAAATTAGTCACTCAAATGTGTTTTGTAATCATTAAAATCATAAATACAACAATCTCCCCCTTTTTTATGATGACAAATCATATTGAGAATGAATTGATGGAAAGCACATATATATTTCAATGAAAGCACATGTAAACTTCAAAATTAACCAAAAATTTCAGCATACTTTCTCTCTCTTTTTATCATTCATCAAAAAGTATATAAACATAATCAATAAACTCCCCCTTAATTCATGCATATCAACCTTTAAAGCATAAAAAATATGTGATTTGAGTATAATATCCACAAATTGCTCCCCCTCAATAAAAGCATTTGATAATCATCAAAATCACAAGCAACCATCAACGATAAAGTTCACAGCTCATGCCATTAATATAATACCATACCGAGGTCACATGTCATTAAAATTCACAATCATAGAACATTAAAAGGGCAGCATATTTAACAAAGTAGCATTTAGTCTTTAGCCACCAAACACAAGAAAGTAGAATAAAGACAATCTAAAAATGAAAATGCATGTGTCTAAGATGTCCATCCTAAAGATTAGCCAAAAGAGAAATAGCAAGTTAGGAGGCACTAGGTGGGGGTGGAGGGAAAAAGTGGTTAACAAGCTGATCAACCTTTCCATTCATGGTATCCATCCTCCCTCTCATCTCCTTCCAGAAATCATAAAAATCAGTGTGCAATTGCCGCATCTCATTCATCATAAGCTCCATGGTTTCGCAGTGTTCTTCTTCCCCCTGCTCTTCCATTTCTTGGTCTGCATCTCCTCCTTCTTCATCTCCTTGCTGTTCCATTGCTTGATCCCGTTTCTTCCTCCAAATGCCATTCCTTAACTCACATTGCAATTTTTTAAAAGAAGTTCTGTTGAGTGTAGTCCCAGCTTTAATCTTCCCAAGCCTATATGATGCGAGATCAATGTTATTCCACTTGACCAATCTAGTGATCAATGCACCATGAGGAAGTCCCATATCTGCTGTGTAAGTCTTGATTATGTTCTGGTAAATAAACCTACCAAGGTTCAGTCTTTTCCTCTTGAGAAGATAATCAAACCATGGGAGATCACTGCCAAGTGCAACAGATTTAGACCCCTTTCTTTGAGTAAGAATACGACTAATAATCCACTGTAATGTTCTGTTTTTTGGTGAAAGAAACCCCACATTAATTTGACTTGCAGTGCAATTTGGAGCAATTGTGTCTCTAACTAATGCTGTATTTACATCTTCAAAATTATCATCTCCTCCTCAGGTATTTCCAGTAAAGCACAAATTTCCCTAGGTGAAAACTGAATTTGCATCCCTGAAACCATTGCTTTGCACTTCTTCTTTTTTGGTTTCAAATTTGCATAAAATTGATGAATCACATCATTATACACGTGCTCCTTAATCTCTAAAAAATCAATCCACCCAATTTCCCTAAATATCTTCTCAACATTCATATCACCTTGAGGAAATTGACTAAACTTCACGTTATTGCAAGGTAGAACAGCCAAATTCTTGACAAAATTATAGTGATCAGAGGCATCCTTATCCCAAAATAGAGTAGAATCAAAGACGTTACCATTTTCCTCAGCCTGACCCCCAGCACTTGAACTTCCCACTTGTTTTCTTTTGCTTCCAGCACTTCTTGAAGCCATGAGAGAGAGAACAGCAAATGCCACACAAAATTGGAGCAAAATCTTGAAGATTTGTGTTGGGTTTGCAAGGTTTTTGAGTGTTTAAATGGTGGTTTTTGCAAATCTGGAGGGATTTGGGTGTTTGGGAGAGGAAAGGGCGTGTTTTTGGAGAGAAACAGAGCTAATCTGGTGCGGAGAGAGAGAAAAACCGATGGTTTTAAAAATAGGTTTAAATACTATTTTGTTCCCTCAACTTTCTACTTTTGACATCAAAATTATCTATTTTACTTTAAAAAATATCAAAATTATCTTTAAATTTTTATTTTTTATATAAAAATAATTCTTTTATCAATTAAATGACAGATGTCACCAATAAATTAATTCCTTTTTTTCTTAACCAATGAAAAACATAATTGATCATCCTTTTGTATGGGTTCGATATTTTTATTTAATTTAAAAATAATTATGTTTTTTCTCATTAGATTATCTTTTCTTCCTCTTTCACTTTCTCTCTCCTTAACCTTTCCTATTCCCTTACCTCTACATAGTACATACCCATATCTGGGTTCTCTCTCAAACTTCATCTTCTTCCTCCTTTCCTCCTCCCAGCTCATCCTCTTCTTTCTTCTTCTTATTCTTTCTCTCTCTTCTCCCTTCTTCTTCCTTTCTCAAATCCAGATCTTTGTTTCATCACATAAATTTGGGTTTGGCTCAAATTCTTTTCTACGCTTTTCTCCTTCCTCCAATTACAATCAAAGGAATCAAACGACTTTAGCAAGAAAAGAAGCAAAAATGCAGTCAAGGCTCGCGGCAATACCATCTTTAAGGCTGTACCGGGCTCTGTTTACAGGCTGCAATGATCAGGTTCTTCCGCACAGATTCAATCACTAGTGTTGGAAAAAGAATATTCGTGTTTGGGTGTTTATTCAATCAAGTTGAAGAAAAAGGAAAAAAACAGTTTGTGGTGACCGTGGATCAAACACGCGACCTTCAGATCTTCAGTCTGACGCTCTCCCAACTGAGCTATCCCCGCTTGTGTGCTGTGTCAATTTATAAATTTGTTTTTAAGCTTAAGTTAGTATTTTTTATTTTTTAGTTTTTCGAAATTGCAAATTTGGGTGTATTTTGTTTGGTGAGTAATCCAAATTGAGCCGAGCTTCTACAAAGATCAAAGGAAACGATATTCGCAGCGGTGGCCGGTGAGACGGCGAGGTGTTAGCTATGATTTCGCAGTTCTTTGTGCTGTCGCAGAGAGGCGACAACATCGTCTTTCGTGACTGTTGGTCTCTTCACTGTTTCATCTGTCCTAATTTCCTATTCAATTCTGTTTTTAGCTCACTTCGTTGATTGCATGCATATATTATAAGCTTTTTCCTTTGCTGAAACTACGAAATTCCACTGATCTTTGATCTGCTTCAAGCCGAAAGCATTTGATTTCTGTGTGTGTTCTTAATTCCGTTTGATTCAGTCCAGAAAAATGCTTTCTTTCATGATTGACTTGTAGAATTGAGGGTAATAACGCCCTTTAAATGTCCAAAATGAGCTGCCGAGATGATCATGAAAATAATTTCATGTCTTGCTGTGTATTTCAGTGCATAAAGTTAAGAAGTTTGAGTTAAAGCATAGACATTTTGGCTATTTTTTGTATAAATTAATGATTTTTATTTTATTAAACCAATGCAGATCGGGGTGAGATGCAGCAGAAAGGAAGTGCAGAGGAGAGTCAGAACTTTCTGGATGCCATTGGACTTGACAGTCCCAAGCGCGTGGTCGATCTTCATTCTCTTATTATCACGAACTTCTTCATATCGTTAATTTATGTGATGAAACTCAGATCTGGGTCTGAGAAAAATCGAGATCTGGGTCTGAGAGAGGAAGAAGAAGGGAGAAGAGAGAGAGAGAAAGAATAAGAAGAAGTAAGAAGAAGAAAGAAGAAGGATGAGCAGGGAGGAGAAAAGGAGGAAGAAGATGAAGTTT